TCAAGTCAGTGTAATTTATTGGCCCCTGGTAAACGTTTAATTTGAATAAAAAATTTCAGTTATGTAGGGGATTTATTTTTATTGTATACTGTTGTATTTTTTGTAACGTTTAAGATGGGTAAGAAACAAAACGGGGATGTTTTTCAGGTTTAAAGATATTTACATTCCGTTGTATATCTTAATGGAGAAATCTCATTACCTTCCATTTCCTAGAAGCTGCGTTACCCGACGGATTTAGCGCTTCCCCGAAGACCTTACCTTATAAGCGTCGTAAGTTGTTCAACAATAAAGATCATTAGCTATATTGAAGTGGTTTCTCAGGGGGGGGGGGGATTTAATGAGTCTTTACATGGAAAAGAAACCTATTTAGGATGTTTTTTTTTTTGTTAAATTTTAGCTAATTTCATCATTTCCGTCATTTGTCAGGCCTTTGATAAGAGCAAATATAGTGGAACCCCCTGGTTTTTGAACTTGATTAGTTCCTAGGTGGTGGTCGAACTGCAAAAAGTTCGATGTCGGAAACCGTGTTTCCCAGGATTTAATTATCAGCCTCACCCAATGGAGAATGTTGAACTGACTCTTCCAAAAGTCTCTGAGAGTCAGGTCAGTGTCACAGGTCACTTCAGAGCACTTTTGAAACGGGGCTTTCCTGTAAATTGCTTTACAATTGAATTTTAAACAAGTCGGCACGTTCGGACTCCAGAAAAACGTTCAAAGACCGGGTCAATTTTGTTCTGAACAAAATTATTCGAGCTCCGGTTTGTTCTTGGTTCGGCAAGTTCGAACACCGGGGGTTCCACTGTATTTCTTTTCCGTGACATGGACCGTATATTTTATTGAAGCTTCTGGTCCCTGGACCGAGGCCTTCCACTGACTTTCTGGTCTACCATGCTAATATTATCTTTTATAAGATATAAATATAAGAAAAGTAGATAACGAGTGACCCCGTGCATCAGTGGTGACCCCGTGCATCAGTGGTGACCCCGTGCATCAGTAGTGACCCTGTGCATCAGTTGTCACCCCTGCATCATTGGTGACCCCGTGCATCAGTGGTCACCCCCTGCATCAGTGGTCACACCGTGCATCAATGGTCGACCCTGCATCAGTGGTCACCCCATGCATCAGTGGTCACCCCGTTCATCAGTGGTGACCCCGTGCATCAGTGGTGACCCCGTGCATCAGTGGGACCCCGTGCATCTGGTGCACCCCGTGCATCAGTGGTGACCCCTGCAGTGGTCACACCGTGCATCAATGGTCGACCCGCATCAGTGGTACCCGTGGCATCAGCGGCCACCCCATGTCAGTCCCCCGTGTATCATGGTCGGCCCTGCATCAGTGGTCACCCATGCATCAGTGATCACAATGCATCAGTAGTGACCCGTGTCAGTGGTCACCCATGCTCATGTGATCACCAGTTGCATCAGTAGTGACCCCGTGCATCAGTGGTCACCCCATGCATCAGTGGCCACCAGATGCATCAGTCGACGAAAGCAAAGACTCAGGACGATGCAACATCCCCCAATGAAAGCAGGGGTGTCACTGCCCGTTAAGGACCCAAGTTCAGTGGGCCCGAGACTGTTCAAATGCCTCCCAGCATACATAGGGGATTCCTCAGCCCCTGGCAGTCTTCAAGCTGGCACTGGACAAGCCCTAAAGTTGGTTCCTGACCAGCCGGGATTTCTCGTACGTTGGTTGGCGTTCAGCAGAGAAGACTGGTTGACAGGCTCGATCCACAGGGCCTGGGTACAAACCCCGGGCGGAGGGCTTTGACCCCGGAAATCTCGTAGGAACTCTTCCAGGTAGTGACCTGCATCCCAGTGGTCACCTGGCATCAATGGTCGACCTGCATCAGTGTCATCCCATGCATCAGTGGTCACCCCGTGCATCAGTGGTTCGCCCCGGATCAGTGGTCACCCCGGGATCAGTGGTCAACCCCGTTATATGGTCACCCCGTGCACAGTGGTCGCCCCTGCATTGTCCCCCTGCATCAGTGGGACTCTTGGTCTGGTCCCTCCTACGTAGCTAGTTAAAAACTAATCACCTGAGTCAGTTGTAAATAGTGGTATTTAGTCAGGTTATTACTGTAGAGGGGCAAGACTGTTTTTTTCGGGAGAGGGAAAAAGTTTCGGGCCTCTAATTATTATTTTATTTTATTATTTTTATTATTAATAATACGCAGGAGAAGAAGTCCAAGTGAGTAAAAGGATCAGGTGGGGAAGGGTTCAAGGTGGAGGGGAACTGTGGGACCAACGTGCTCCAGAAAACTGCGCCTCATCAAACATGAAGGGAAACTCTGTATCTTGGTGAACCATGGAGCCTCGAGGAATGAAGTTTTATTCGAAGAAGGAGATTTGTAACCCAGGGTAACAAGACATCCACTGTGGTTATCCACAAATTTTCTCTGATCCCCTTACCAGGATCAAACATTGGTGTCTCGTGGACCGTTTGGAGCATTTTACTTTTGATTTCAAGTGTCGATTTTAGTCTGGGTTCAGCCTGGATGCGGAGCTTTTCATACCTCGTTCCCAAAACTATGTGGGATCCCCTAAGAGACAACACGTACGTGTAGGGGTCAAGACTGTTCAACTGCCTCCCAGCAACATAAGGGGTTTTTAAATGACCCCCCGGGGTGTCTTCAAGAGGGGCTGGGCAGGACCTAAAGTCAGAATGATCAGTCGAGCTGGGTTCGTACGTCGGTTTTTCGTGCGGGCCGCAGCAAACAGCCCGGTTGATCAGCCCCGATTCACCAGGAGGCCTGGTCACAGACCGGGCCCCCGGGGGGGGTTGACCCCGAAACCCTCTCCCGACCCCCGACCTCTACCTTTTGTGTTCCCGTGTTTATTCCCAGTCCTCCTGTTAGTTATCGTGATATTTGATCTTTTTTTGTGTGCATGTGCGTGTGTGTGTGTGTGTGGTGTGTGTGTGTTTTGTGTGTGTGTGTGTGTGTGTGTGTGTGTGTGTGTGTGTGTGTGTGTGTGTATGTGTGTACTCACCTAGTTGAGGTTGGGGGGGGTCAAAGTCCGAGCTCCTGGCCCCGCCTCTTCACTGATCGCTACTAGGTCACTCTCCTGAGCCGTGAGCTTTATATACCTCTGCTTAAAGCTATGTATGGATCCTGCCCTCCACTACATCGCTTCCCAAACTATTCCACTTACTGACTACTCTGTGGCTGAAGAAATACTTCCTAACATCCCCGTGATTCATCTGTGTCTTCAGCTTCCAAAATGTGTCCCCCTTTTTACTGTGTCCAATCTCTGGAACATCCCGTCTTTTTTCCACCTTGTCAATTCCTTCAGTATTTTGTATGTCGTTATCATGTCCCCCCTATCTCTCCCGGGCCTCCCGTGTCGTCAGGTTGATTTCCCTTAACCTCTCCTCGGTAGGACATACCTCTTAGCTTGGGACTAGTCTTGTTGCAAACCTTTGCACTTTTTTCTAGTTTCTTCACGTGCTTGGCTAGGTGTGGGTTCCAAACTGGTGCCGCATACTCCAATATGGGCCTAACGTATACGGTGTACAGGGTCCTGAAGATTCCTTATTAAAGATGTCGGAATGCTGTTCTGAGGTTTGCTAGGCGCCCATATGCTGCAGCAGTTATTTGGTTGATGTGCGCTTCAGGAGATGTGCCTGGTGTTATACTCACCCCAAGATCTTTTTCCTTGAGTGAGGTTTGTAGTCTCTGACCCCCTAGACTGTACTCCGTCTGCGGCCCTTCTTTGCCCTTCCCCCAATCTTCATGACTTTGCACTTGGTGGGATTAAAACTCCAGGACCCAATTGCGGGGACCAGGTCTGCAGCCTGTCCAGATCCCTTTGTAGTTCTGCTGGTTTCGATCGAGTGAATTCTTCTCATCAACTTCACGTCATCTGCAAACAGGGACACCTCAGAGTCTATTTCCTTCCGTCATGTCGTTCACAAATTACCAGAAACAGCACTGGTCCTAGGACTGACCCCTGCGGGACCCCGCTGGTCACAGGTGCCCACTCTGACACCTCGCCACGTACCATGACTCGCTGCTGTTCTTCCTGACAAGTATTCCCTGATCCATTGTAGTGCCTTCCTGTTATCCCTGCTTGGTCCTCCAGTTTTTGCACCAATCTCTTGTGTGGAACTGTGTCAAACGCCTTCTTGCAGTCCAAGAAAATGCAATCCACCCACCCCTCTCTCTTTTGTCTTACTGCTGTCACCATGTCATAGAACTCCAGTAGGTTTGTGACACAGGATTTCCCGTCCCTGAAAACCATGTTGGCTGCTGTTGATGAGATCATTCCTTTCTAGGTGTGTGTGTGTGTGTGTGTGTGTGTGTGTGTGTGTGTGTGGTGTGTGTGTGTGTGTTGTCGGTGATGCTACATGAGATCTCTTATAATAATAATGAATTGTATTTTTCAGTAAGGCACATTTGATACAATTTTTTTTTTTACATGGAAAAGCCCACATTTATATAAGGGACTTCTCATACCTGATCTCTTTCACTTACCTGAACCTCCTCTCCTCTCACGTGACCCCTCTCCTGCTCATCATAAGGGGCACGTCATTTCCCCTGTTTTCTAATATGTTATTTTTTCCCTGTAATCAACCTTGTCCGTAATTATTATCGCATTTGTTTTGTCTGCTTTCGTAAGGTGAAGTCTGGGATCTTTCCTTAATTCATGGTATAACTTAAATCTTTGAGTATAACTTAATCTTTGTACAACTTAATCTTTGTAGAACTTAACAAATCTTTGAGTAACACAATTGTCCTCAAAGATTTGTTGAGTTATACTGTACCATGAATTAAGGAAAGATAATATACTTCACTTTACGAAAGCAAACAAAGCAAATGCGATAGTAATTATGGACAAGGTAGATCATAGGGGAAAAATGGTCATGATATTAGAAGACAGGAAACTCACGCTCCTCTTAATTAAACTGTTTATCTGATAGTAACGAACATCTTCTCTGCCCTGGACAGATGTATCTGTTTATCTGATAGTAACGAACATCTTCTCTGCCCTGGACAGATGTATCACCAAGAGAGAGTAGAAGAGGTGCGGACGGAGCAGCAGTCATCAGGTGGAGGGAAGAAGTCCTCCCTCAATAACAACCTCTCCGAGCTGGACACTTTGCTTCAGGACCTTAATAATGCACGATACACGGGAAACTTCAAAGGTAACACAACTACTACAGTATACCGTTTAAATTCATATATTTACCTCGTTTTCTCTAATAATAAGTTGCCCGTCCGTTTTCTCTCAGGGCGCGGGCGAAGGTTGAGAAACTCAAATAAAATAAAATCATGCTATTGCATGGTACGTATTATTATTTTTAATAATGTAATAATATTTTTATTTACTACAAGTACATATACATAGTATACAGCCGTAACTGACATCAATGACATACTACTTTATAGAAAGCAGCTTGTTAAGCAGAACTTTTCGGGCAAATTAGGTCAGTTCTGTCCCAGGATGCGACCCACACAAGTCTACTAACTCCCAAGTACCCATTTTACTGGTAGGTGAATATAGACAACCGGTGTAAAGAAACGCGCCCAGTGCTTTAGCCACTAGGAGACGGGGACCATAAGGGTCATACAGTACTGTGCATGGTACGTAAAAATATGTAAAAAAAAAAAAAAAAAACTAGCAAGAACATTATACGATGTCAATAGACTGTCACTAGGTTTTTTTTCTGAAAAGTTTGCGGTTTGTGGAGAGGTGGGAAAATTTTCAGGTGTGCCTCTGGAGGGAGGGGAGAATGGCAGTGGGCACTCTGAAAGGGGAGGGGAGAATGTGCAGTGGTGCCTCTGAGGAGAGGTGAGAAATGTTGCAGTGGTGCACTCTGAAGGGGAGGTGAAAAGTGCGTGTGGCACTCTGAAAGGGGAGGTAGAATGTGCAGTGGTGCATCTGAAAGGGAGGTGAAATGTTTCGTGTGTGCACTCTGGAGGAGAGGTGGAATGTTTTAGTGTGTGCATTGGAGGGGAGGGGGGAATGTTTTAGTGGTCACTTGGAGGAGAGGGAGAATTTGCGTGTGTGCACTCTGAAAAGGGGAGGTGAGAATGTTTCAGTGTGTGCACTGGGGGAGAGGTGGAATGTTGCAGGGGGTTTCATCTGGAGGGGAGGTGAGAATGTTGCTGGTGCACTTTGGAGGAGGGGGAGAATGTTGCAGTGCGTGCCTTGGGGGAGAGGTGGGAATGTTTTAGTGGGTGCACTATGGAGGAGAGGTGAGAAGTTGCAGTGTGTGCACTTGGAGGAGAGGTTTTTAAAGTTACAGTGTGGCATCTGGAGGGGGGGTGGAATGTTTTTGGGAGTGGTGCATTGGAGGGAGGTGAGAAAGTTGCAGTGGTGCCTCTGGGGAGAGGTGGGAATGTTCAGGTGTGACTCTGAGGGGAGGTGGAATGTTCAGTGGTGCACTCTGGAGGAGAGGTGGGGGAAATTTTAGGGGTGTGCATCTGGAGGAGATTGAGAATGTTGCAGTGGGCACTTTGGAGGGGGAAGGGGGGAATGTTCAGTGGTGCACTCTGGAGGGAAAGGGGGGAATGTTCGTGGGGTGCACCTGGAGGGGAGGGGAAAGTTGGGGGGTGCACTCTGGAGGGGAGGTGAGAATGTTGCAGTGGTGCCCCCTGGAGGAAAAGGGAGAATGGTTTTCAGTGGTGCATCTGGGGGAGAGTGGGAAAGTTAGTGTGGCCCTGGAGGAGAGGTGGGAAAAGGAGTGTGTGGGACTTGGGGGGAGGTGGAATGTTGCAGTGGTGCACTTGGAGGGGGTGGGGGAAAGTTTCAGTGTGGCACTTGGGGAGAGGTGGGAAAGTTCATGTGTGCCTCGGAGGGGGGTGGGAATGTTAAGGGGTGCACTCTGGGGAGAGGGGTGTTGAGTGGTGACTTTGGGGGGAAGGTGGGAATGTTGCAGTGTGTGCATTGGAGGAGGTGGGAATGTTTCGGTGTGCACTTGGAGGAAGGTGGGAAAGGGTTGGGGGTGCACTTGGAGGGGGTGGGAATGTTGCAGTTGGGGACTTGGAAGGAGAGGGGGAAGTTTCAGTGGTGCATTGGAGGGGAGGGGGAATGTTGCGTGGGTGCACCGGGGGGAGGTGGAATTTGGTGGGCACTTGGAGGAGAGGTGGGAATGTTGCAGTGTGTGCACTCTGGAGGAGAGGTGGGAATGTTGACAGTGTGTGCACTCTGGAGGAGAGGTGGGAATGTTAGTGTGTGCACTCTGGAGGAGAGGTGAGAATGTTGCAGTGTGTGCACTCTGGAGAAGAGGTGAGAATGTTGCAGTGTGTGCACTCTGGAGAAGAGGTGGGAATGTTGCAGTGTGTGCACTCTGGAGTAGAGGTGGGAATGTTGCAGTGTGTGCACTCTGGAGGAGAGGTGGAAATGTTGCAGTATGTGTACTCTGGAGAGAGGGGAATGTTGCAGTGCGTGCACTCTGGAGGAGAGGTGGAATGTTTACAGGTGTGCACTCTGGAGGAGAGGTGGGAATGTTGCAGTGTGTGCACTCTGGAGGAGAGGTGGGAATGTTGCAGCGTGTGCACTCTGGAGGAGAGGTGGGAATGTTGCAGTGTGTGCACTCTGGAGGAGAGGTGGGAATGTTGCAGTGTGTGCACTCTGGAGGAGAGGTGGGAATGTTAGTGTGTGCACTCTGGAGGAGAGGTGGGAATGTTGCAGTGTGTGCACTCTGGAGGAGAGGTGGGAATGTTACAGTGTGTGCACTCTGGAGTAGAGGTGGGAATGTTACAGTGTGTGCACTCTGGAGGAGAGGTGGGAATGTTACAGTGTGTGCACTCTGGAGGAGAGGTGGGAATGTTACAGTGTGTGCACTCTGGAGGAGAGGTGGGAATGTTGCAGTGTGTGCACTCTGGAGGAGAGGTGGGAATGTTGCAGTGTGTGCACTCTGGAGGAGAGGTGGGAATGTTACAGTGTGTGCACTCTGGAGGAGAGGTGGGAATGTTGCAGTGTGTGTGCACTCTGGAGGAGAGGTGGGAATGTTGCAGTGTGTGCACTCTGGAGGAGAGGTGGGAATGTTACAGTGTGTGCACTCTGGAGGAGAGGTGGGAATGTTGCAGTGTGTGCACTCTGGAGGAGAGGTGGGAATGTTGCAGTGTGTGCACTCTGGAGGAGAGGTAGGAATGTTAGTGTGTGCACTCTGCAGGAGAGGTGGGAATGTTGCAGTGTGGGCACTCTGGAGGAGAGGGGGGAATGTTACAGTGTGTGCACTCTGGAGGAGAGGTGGGAATGTTGCAGTGTGTGCACTCTGGAGGGAGGGGGAATTTGTGTGGCTCTGCAGGGGTGGTGTGCAGTGTGGCAGTCTGGAGGAGAGGTGGGAATGTTACAGTGTGTGCACTCTGGAGGAGAGGTGGGAATGTTGCAGTGTGTGCACTCTGGAGGAGAGGTAGGAACGTTAGTGTGTGCAACTCTGGAGGAGAGGTTGGAATGTGCAGTATGTGCACTCTGCAGGAGAGGTAGGAATGTTAGTGTGGGGCACTCTGGAGGAGAGGTGGGGAATGTTGCAGTGTGGCACTCTGGAGGAGAGGGGGGAATGTTACAGTTTGTGCACTCTTAGGAGAGGTGGGAATGTTACAGTGTGTGCACTCTGGAGGAGAGGTGGGAATGTTACAGTGTGTGCACTCTGGAGGAGAGGTGGGAATGTTACAGTGTGTGCACTCATTAGGAGAGGTGGGAATGTTACAGTGTGTGCACTCATTAGGAGAGGTGGGAATGTTACAGTGTGTGCACTCTGGAGTAGAGGTGGGAATGTTACAGTGTGTGCACTCTGGAGGAGAGTGGAATGTTACAGTGTGTGCACTCTGGAGTAGAGGTGGGAATGTTACAGTGTGTGCACTCTGGAGTAGAGGTGGGAATGTTACAGTGTGTACACTCTGGAGGAGAGGTGGGAATGTTACAGTTCTGAGGGTCATCTGAACTGTGTTATTAACACACTGCCAAGTCAGCTCTTGGATGAATAATGACGATATTTCCTTTCTTTGGGTCACCTTGCGTATGGCGCTGAGAAATATACATCTCTAATGTATTATTCTATACGTGGGCAAGTCCTAAGCCCGTGAAGGGTCATGGGAGGCAGTCTGTTTTGATCCAAGGAAGAGGAAGGTAGCTCTGTATCCCTTGGATCAACAGCTTCGAGATACCCTATTGAAGAGTACATATGGTATTCTTCGTGTTAAATATCGGGTGTTTATTCAGTATGTTGTATTATACAAGAGTTGTATTAAGCACAATATTATATACATAAAGTAGCAACAGACTTTAACAGTGCATGTATTTATATACATACATATAATATCACTATATACATAGTGATAATACATACATATAGCACATGCCACTGTATGTATTATATACATAGCAGGTATTAACTGACATTGTCTAATATCTCAGCAGTTATCCAAGGTTCAGGTCTTCATATAATCCTCACCCCTTTTGACTGTTAATCCTAACCTCCTGTTTCTCACCCTCGTCCTGAAATTCACAAACTCTCCCATCACAGCATCCTTATTCCTTCACATTTCCCTGACTTACCGACGAACGTCTGGAGGAAATAGTTGCCAGTATGACAGCTTTCAAAGCATAATAGAAGCTGCATATATTCCTAATCGAGAAATTAGATCAAATACATATGACTAAATGGATAATAGACTAAAATGTTTCTTCTGAATGTTTCCCAGGCATTTACGTCATTGGAACTTGTTGTCACAGTCCAGTCACAATTGTGTAGCCTATATACCAGTTTATTTACTGTAGCCTTTGGCTGATCTCATTTTTGTTCTGTGTAGGCCTATCTGTCTCCTAATGATTTTTTCTGGTGCAATACGTGATGAAATGATCACAAGACCTGTGGTACTGATGCCTGACTAAGTTATTAAAGTGGTTACAAAGTATGTGTTGAGTTTGGTGGCTGAGAACTGTGTGATCCGGGTTAGTGCATTAATTAGTTGATTGTAACTACTCCTAGAAGTTGCTCATTGCTTTGACATAGCCCGTTATTTTGCTGTTGATAACAGATATTGAAGTCTCCCAGTATTATTGTCTCACAGTTGTGCTCAATTCGGGTCAAGACTCGGAAAGTTTTCCAAGAACTGATGTGGGGGGGGGGGGGTAGGTAACTAGTTCCTACTAGGATAAGTTTGGTCTTGGGCAGCAACACAAACCATAGAATCT